CAGACGGATAGACGGACGGACATAGCTAAATCGACATAGAATTTTATGCTGATCAAGAATACATATATATACTTTGTGGGGTCTAAAATGTATATTTCGAGGTGTTACAAACGGAATGACAAACTTAATATACCCTCCACACTATGGTGGAGGGTATAAAAAAAAGCAAACAAATCGTTATGAGTGAGTTCGAATATTATTACTACAGCATAAAAATTGAAAAACCATGTCACACAATAATTTTGCCATTTCCAAAAGTGAATCAAATCGAACGACCAAGCCGTAGAAGAAGGAGGAGAAGAAGAAGAAATAAAAACTAACCCAGCATAAAATGTGTCACTTGCCATGAATCGTTACAATTTTCGATAAATATTTATGAAGTACGAGAGAGAGGGAGAGCAACTTTCCCAGGGCTATGTGCGAAACAAACCTCAGACATGTTCTTCGGGAAATATTGGGGGGTGTTTGAGTGTGTGTGTTTGTTCATTGATATTTTTGTGTAAAAGTCCACTTCTTGCGTTTTTTTATTTTTTGTTTTTCCTTTCTTCATTCGAATAACCAACTGAACCGAGTGACTGAATGAATGAATCATTGAGGTAACCGAAATTAAGGCCAGAGACCATCAAGATGTATGAAATTCAATTGAATCTCACATAACCCATTCACTCTATGAATATGAAGAACCTCAATGGTGACACATTTTCTTTATGATATGGCCCGGATTTTGGTGCAAACATGCCCTGCACTAATAAAAACAACAACAACATCGACAACAACAAAATGGCAAAAAGATACAAACGCTTCCAGCATGTGTCTTTTATGGTATAGATGGAAATTCTATAGAACTGTTAACCCTGTTTTGTCAATAAGCTCTGAATGATGCTCAAGGAGTATGTGTAAAGTAGGATGAGGACTAGAGAATGAATAAGAAAAAAATGGTACATGCTACTACTACTAGTACTACCAAAGAAGAAGAAGAAAAAACATATTTCAAAAGGACACAAGGTACAACTACTCGAAATTTTCACTTTCATTGCTGGGCATGTAAGCAATCAGTCAGTGTTGCCATTTTTGGAAGAGAAAACAAACGACCAGAAATTTCACAAATAATGGATGATTAAGCCAAACTTTGGATTCTCTATTCGCAAGCGTAACAAAAATCAGAAACGAAAATTTTTCCGGTAATGAAATATTTGAATTTATATGTTATATTGCACCCATTTCTGTTTTTTACAAGACATTTACTGGCAGTCCTAAATACACAAAACGCCGGAATATCAGGCGGTATCTTTTTGGAGGCTACATGAATACAAGGCAATTAAAGTACCAAAATTCCAAAAATGCCATTAAATTCTCTAGCAGAAATCATCAATATTTCAGGAGGTAGCTTTAAATGGCGGCCAGACGTCACCTCATAAAAATTCCGAATCCCACTGTGTGGAGATAATATCAAAACGTAGATCTTAATTAACAATTTACATCCGAAGGAGATGGTGTGCATCACAAACTACACATTTCATAAAATTTTGTAGATAAATGGGGAGATACCATTATATGGAAATTGATCAAAATCCTGGATCGAAATATTCCATCTTTAAAAGCGATCAATAACGATTAAAGATGTTTTGTAGACTTCTTTTTATACTCTCAGCCATATAGCTACAGAGGGTATATATCATGTGATACGGCGAAAACGTGCTTCATCGAAATTACGAAGTTTTAGACTCTCTGTCTCTTCGGACCAAATCCGTTCCAGGATATTTGAAGTCGATCCAGAGGTGTATGTCAGTCCGTCTGGCTTGTGCGCACGATAACTCTCGAAGGGTCTACTTCTTCTGGTACCCCCCCCCCCCCCACATAAAAGGTCAAAATTTCCACAGAAAATAATTTACCGTATAAAACAAAAAATAATCATCCACATTTTTCCAAACTTTGCAAATTTGTGTCAGTGCAAGTGAGGTGCGAAAATAAAAATATCGGCCCACTCCGTCATGTACCCCCTCACAACCAGTCAACATTTAAAATTATACCTTCTAAAAAAATGCGAAATAAGCATCCAATTCCACACAAGATCTGGTGTGAAGATGAGATGAGATCTGCTCCTGCTGGTATATCAGACTTATATCAGAAAGAAGATGGCCAATGTTCGATTATTTAAATATATTTTGACTTCTGTTATGATCATTTAAAATTGTTGACCCTCTCCTCCGAAGGAATGGGCCAATATTGTCCATTTCGTATCGGGCCTAAAGAAATTTTGCGACATGCCAGGTTTGGACTATATTAGTTACTTCATTTACTTTAGTGCATGAGTTACCAGATATAGTCGACCGAAGTATTCAATTTTCATACTTCATCTAAAACAGATAAAAATATTGGTGTCGGCAAAATTAGAAGAAAATCGAACAAATATATCCAATTTTTTGGTTGAGGTACCGCAAGGCATTCGCAGATATATATCAGATCTTGTGTTAGCAAAAATGTTTGCATGGGTGAAATTTTTAAGAGAGTTGAATGCTTATATCGCCTTCTTAGAGCGTTCTGTTTTTCAAAATTTTGAACCCCGTGTGGGGGAGGTACCAGAAGATGTCCGATCTCTGACATCTTTACATCGGATCTTGTGTTGATGGAAATATTGAGATGTTCCAAGTCTGAATAGAATCGGAATCGGAATTTTGACCCTTTGTGGGGGGGTGTACCAGAAGAAGTGGACCGATATATTCCAATTTTACATCAAACCTTGGGTTACTAAAAATATTGTGATTTGTGTAATTTAAAGAGAACCGAATGCTTATTTTGGATTTTATGGTCGTTGTGGTTAATCAAAACTTTGACCATTTGTTGGAGAGATACCAGAAGGAATGGTCCGATCTGTACCATTTTTATAACAGATCTTATATTTATGGAAATATTGAGTTGTGCCAAGTCTGAATAAATCGGATGTTAATTTCGTGTTTTATGAGCTTCATGAATATTCAAAGTGTTGACCCTTTGTGAGTGAGGTTCCAGAAGGAGTGTAGCAATATGTTTTATCTGTACACCAGTGACAGCTCATTATATTGTTTACAAGCGCACAAAAGTATTTGGTGAGAATTTTCAGAAAAAAAATATTCGTGATGGAATTCAAGCGTGATAGTGTGATTTCTTTATATTTGGCAGGAAAACCACAAGTGGCTATCGTTAGAGCACTCCAGTATTTAAATGTGAATAAAACTTTTGTGTCTCGTACCATCGCTCATTACCATGATACTGGTAGCGTAGCCCGACGTCAAGGAAGAGGACGGAAAAACAGCAACATCAGCAGAAATGGTTCGAAAAGTAAAGAAGCGACTTGATCGAAACCCGCGTCACAGTGGCCGAAAAATGGCTCGTGAGCTGAACATAACGCAATATTCCATTCGGCAAATATTGAAAAATGAGCTCGAGGTAAAGCCATTGAAATTCCAAAAAGTGCAAGAACTTACACCGCAAAAGAATGTAAATAGACTCAAAAGAGCTAAAGAGTTTCTTCGCTTGGCCGAAAGTGGTGAACTGCCGAAGTTGGTTTTCTCCGTCTCCGATGAGAAAACATTCGTTGTCAAGCGTGTTTACTTGCACCTTCGGTTGACCACTAGAACTCAGACGAGGTCCATGGTGATGGTGTGGGCCGCCATAACAGCGGATGTTCGTCTCCGCACGTATTAATCGTTCATGGCATCAGAATAAATGCCGGATGTTATCGCGAAAATATTCTGGAGGGTATATTAAAGTCTTAGGCACGAAAACATTTTGGCCACAGATCTTGGACATTCCAACCCAAGAATGTTTACAAAATGAGGTTGCTCGCTCCATTTCCAGCGCACAATGGCCAACAAAATCTCCGGATACCAATCCGTTGGACTATTGTATGTGGAGTATTTTGGAAAGCAAGGTTGGCACTAAAAAATATCAAAGTGTCGATCGATCACCTCAAGCAAGCGCTTCGCCGGGAATGGGCTAAAATACCGCAGAACAACGTTCGGGCAGCGTGTGACGGTTTTATTGGCCGTTCGAAGGCCATAATTCGTGCCAAAGATGACCAACTCGAACAAATCTTAACTAACTCTAAAATTTGATGCTATTCCCGACATTTTTTGCTTTCATTCAATAAAATTTAAAATAAATTTAAAAAATTATTGCGTTTGACTTTGTTTTTTATCTCACCCTGTATATAGTTGATCATCGTTTTGTGGGAAAGATACACGATATACGTTGGGTAAAATATTAACATGTGAATGTTTCGGCCAATTCAGCAACATGTGGTTTTGCATGAAATTTGTGATTTTTCAGAATTGTGATCCCTTTTGGAGCCATCAGAAATAGTTCAGCGATTTAGAAGGTATTCGAAAATCGAACATGTTTAGCAAATTGGTGACACAATTGCCTTTTGTATAAGATATCTTAATATTCAAAAGCTTGATCCTCTGAGAAGAAGCTAAATAATGTAGGCCAATATATGTCACTCACATACTCGATTTAAATTTGGTAAAACTTTTTTGAAAAAAATCAACCAAGGACATTCAAAATATCCTAAAATGTGAAACACATATTGGACTCATGACAGCATATAGTCCACTTACCATTTCAATAAAATCATTTTCATATTTTTGGCCCAAAAAAAAAAAAAATAGTCAAACCAATAATGGTGACAACAACACAAAACGCACATTTCCTCATTCCCCCTTTTTAATCTTTGCTCTCTTATCTCAAATATTCATGAGGATATATTGGCCAACATATGACAACGTCGATGACGACGATGACGATGATGGTGGTGGTGATGAGGATAACGATAAAATCATGTACATCCGAACGAATATGCATGTTGATTATGATTATGGTGATAATAACAACATTGCCTGACCTCAGTCACTCAGTGAGTGTGTGTGTGTGTGTGTGTGTGCCAGTGTGTATGTGTTTGTATATACCAATACTTAACATTTAGGTCATAACATCAATATGACCTTAAAACAATTACTTACAATGTCAGCTTCGGCTTCGGCATCTGCATCTGAATCATCATATGGCAAATTGACATCAATAATATCGACACTTTCTCCGCCCTTGGCACCACCATCACTGCTGTTGCCGATGCTACCGAGCTGCTCCTTTTCCTCGATCTCTTGCAGATGTCGTTGGTCAAATATGTCCTCAGGTATTGTTGTCTCATCTTGCATATTGAAATCATCTACAAAGAGTCAAGCAAAAAAGAAAGAGAACACACAAACAAACAGAGATGAGAAACATTAAAAACTAATCAAGTACATGGCATAGATGAATACACAAAACAAGAAGTCTAAATAAACACACACACACATATGCTAATATGTGTGTGTTTGTGAAGGCACAGCATGAAATTGTAAATGTAGGTTTCTTTTTTTCAATTTATTTTTTAATTCTCACTTAACATGCTTGTCTGCAATAGATACACACACGCACTCGAATGCCAACATCTTGGGGGTTATTCAATTTTCAGTTAAAGGGTGTTTGAAAGGTATATATATATAAAATGGGTATTTAGAAAAAATTTTATTCGCATGTATATATATCCTTAATTTTTGCAATTCTGTGTTTAACTACTTATACCACATATAAAGTCCAAATTATTACCAAAAACAAAATAAAAAAAAAAACATTAAAAAACTGCATATCCAGTGCAAATTCTGAATTGAAGTTCACCCTGTCAGGTGGAATCAAGATATGGCCCCTACTATTTTATGAAAGCTTAGTAGTTTTAACAAAATTTCCTATAATGTCTCCGATGTCAAAATTAAAACCTGTAAAGAAAGCCTTTAAGTCGGGCGGGGCCGACTTTATGATACCCTACACCACTTTGCTAATTTAGTAGAGATCCGCATAACAATTAAAAGTTTTTATGGGAGAATTCCATCATACACGCTATGATTATAATTATACTTTAAAGATCAAAGGATTAAATGTGCCGAAGCATTTGTATCTTTTAAATTCGGACCTGTATTGCCCATTTGGTGCACAATTAATTTGAAATCGGATAAAAATATATGGGAGCTATATCCAAATCGGAACCGATCTCGATAAAAATTGGCAAAGATATTTCTGAGCTGTATTTGATATATTTCCCTGAATATCGTTGTTACGGAGTGCATATTACGGCTGTGGGTTATTTGTTAACAAATCGGATGAACAGTATATATGGGAGCTATAGCTATATCTGAACCGATCTTCACCAAATTTGACATACTAACTTCTAGACTCAATTCGGTCGTAAGTGCCAAATTTCATCCCATTTGGGCAAATATTAGAGGTTTGGTGTACAATAAAAGGTAAATCGGACGAAGTTATATATCGGAGATATATCCAAATATGAACCGATCTCGATAACATTTAGCAAGAGTATTTCGGAGCTGTATTTGATAAATTTCCCCAAATATTGTTATTACAGAGTGCATATTACGGCTGCGGAGGACAAAAATAACAAATCGGATGAACAATATATATGGGAGCTATAGCTATATCTGAACCGATTTCGATCAAATTTGGCATACTTATTTTCAGGCCTAATTTGGTTGTATGTGCAAAATTCCATACTAGTCGGGCTTTGGTGCACAATAAAAGGCAAATCGGACGAAAATATATATGGGAGATATATCTAATTTTTTACCGATTATCTCCAATTTCAATAGGGTTCGTTCTTGGGCCACACAAATGATTTGTGCAAAATTTCATCTGGATAGGGCAATAAATGCGAACTGTACTTTGTTTACAAAAATACATGGACAGACGGACGGACGGACATGCATAAATCGAATTAGAATGTGATTCTATGCAGATCATCAAAACGAACTATGGGTCTATCTCGTTTCCTTTTGTCTGTTACAAACAAATGTACAAAGACATAATACCCTGACCACCTTGTGGTGTAGGGTATAATAATTACAGGAAAAAATCCAGCAGATTTTGAAAGTATAGCTAAAACAAGTTAAAAGGTTTCACTCAGTTTTGCCGTCATATTTATCCCCTTGGCCAATGTTCGATTATTTATTTTATTTCGCCTTCTTTGAGCGTATTTATAATTGAAAAATTTTGACCCACAAAGTTTCGACATATCTAATCGCTACACACCAACGTTCCAAATTTGAGAGTTTTCCATATTCCCATTCGCTATATACCAAAGCAGAGCAAAATTTTAGCTTTTTCTGTTTGCAATTTACTTGGACAGAATATTTAGTCCCTTAATAACATTAAGTTTCTCTATATCCAATATATTGATCATTTAAACCATATTTTATTCCGGAATGGTCTTATATTTGGCATTTGAATTTCAAAAAACGGACTTTGATAAAAAATTGCCTGCGCAGGACCAAGTATAGCCATTTTTCCTTGGTCTTTCTTTGAGATGATGCATGAAAATAGCATAAAATTTAGTTTTAATCTGGGAGTGGCACACAAAATTTAACTAAATGTATCAGGATAAAATATATTTCTATTAATAACCAATTGTATTTGAATTACATTTGAAATTTATATTAAAAGTGGAAGTTGAATGGTTTTGATTATATACTTTTCTTAACTGAGTCAATTTCTTTCAGAATACTTATATTGGGGAAAAAGTAATAAAAAAACAACTATTCTAGACCATATTTCAAGAAGGGTTCACATTTTGTTATAGCCCGTTTTTAAAGGCACCCCATTATTTTAGTTACTTAGAGGGTCTTGATCATATTTCCGACAATTAATTAATATTAATTAAAATAATCATATGAAGGGCTCCATAATATTGAAAATTCTTTTGACCCTTCAGCCAAGTTTAAAATGTCATTTTATGTTATAGTGTTGAATAATATTATCTAAGAATTTTGATTTTAAAAATTTGCAAAATTAAATTTAACTAACTGCATACTTTTTGTTGTTGCATATATACTTGTTTTATTTTTTCTATTTTTTTTTTGTCAGGTGAGTTGGAAACTGACAACAATTTCATACAAGGTATTTATAGATTTAAAGAGTTTTCTTCCCATTTATTTTACCTAAAATTATTATACCCTACAAACTATGTGTTGGGGGTATTATAAGTTTAATTGGGCCAAAAAATATGTAACACATCGAAATATTGGTTTCCCACATAGGAAAGTATATATAGAGCTTCCTATCTCGCCGAGCTGAGTCGATCTAGCTATGTACGTCCGTCCGTCTGTCCATGTTAATTTGTAATCACTCTACAGGTCGCAATTATGAACCGATCCTCACGAAATTGAAAATGGAGGTGGGGTTATGGTCAGAATAGAACCCTATTATTTTTGGAGATGATCGCACTATATTTAGGGGTTGAATTGGACCAAAAACAGAAAAAATTCCTGATTTGGCAGTTGCTCTATAGGCCACAATTATGAACCAAACGACGAGGGAATTTACATGGAGTTAGAGGTTAGACCTGGGCCAATTTGGGCGGCCATCGGACAATATTTAGCGGGTAAAATAGACCCTAACTTTTATGTAAGTAAATAGGAAATTTCCATTAAATCACGAATATTTTTAACCCTAGCCAAATCACAACTACATTAAAAGGTCACTCCTGACCATTAAAGCGATGCTTTAAAAAACTTATAATGCCCCCAACACATAGTGTTGTAGGGTATAAATAGCGTGCCTATTTAGGTTACTTGTGATGTAAACTATAAAAATGCTAATACGTGTATTGCACTACTCAAAAAATTTAGTACTTATTGAAATACCCTCTAAAACAATATTGGCAATGTGTGTGTACGAAAAAACACATTCAATTGTTTTCCAACAACAATTTTGTAACAATATAAGAAAATTTGAATTGGGGTTTCTATGTTGTACAACAAAATTGAAACTTCCGAATTTGTTGTCATTGTTTTATTGTTTTGCTTGCTATTCCATTGTATTTTGATGTCGTTGTGTGGTTTTTCTTGGAAGAGTCGTATTTTGATTTGCATGTGACGTTTGAAAATATCGATGTGTCTACGAATGTCCTTCACAGCAGCCTAACAATGTAGAATGAAAATCAAATTAAATTTGTCTGAATGGCAGGCAACCAATATAGTTTAAATAATTTACCAAACAATGGCAGAAGACAAAGAAAAACACAAAATGTATACATCCCATCTCATGGGGAAATTACGTAAACTAATTTGGAATCAATTTAATTATAATGGATATTTTTAATACTTCTTGTTAAACACTTGGTAATTTAATGAAGAGAAATTAATTATAAGCAAATTTTATGAATTTGACACAAACAAGTGTCAATTCGAGATCTTTGTGGTGCTAAAAAATAATATGGTATAAATTAGCACTGAAAGTTAAGTGGGTTTGTAATGCAAACTGAGGATATATGAAAGATGCATTGAATTCAGGTATATAGGCACCTAATGTATGAGTTCGCCCTTTATAACAATAAGATGGCTTTATCAAGATTATTGATGTATATTCGCTCTTTTATAAATTTTTTCGTCGTCCGATTTTGTCTATTAAAGAATTTTCTTTTGCGAGCAATTTAAATTTTATGAAACTTTTGTGAGAAATCACACAGTATCTTTGGCTCTGTTCCAGAACCTGCAAGAATATACTATTTATCCAATTTTTTTCGGTACCGTAAAGAGAAAATCGATTTTTGTAACAGGTGCCGCAAAAATAATCCTCCCTTCAGAAAATGCTATACATTTTACGATTGGCCTCTAATGTCTTAATTACAGCCTAAAAACATCGAAAGTTTACTTTTGCGCCACCTTGGGCATGCATATCTACTTGACAGATATAACGATGTTTTTTGGCTGCAATCGTAAAATTTATAGCATTTTCTGATAGGAGAATTACTTTTACGCCACCTTGTTGTAAAAAGTTTAACATTCCTGCAGTTCTGGAACAGACCATTTATCTTTGTTTTCCAAATTTCAATGTTTTCATACCCTCAGCCATATGGCTAGAGAGGGTACATATCATTTGACACGGCCAAAACGTGCCTCATCGATATTAAAATTTTAGACCCTAGGTCTCTTTGGACCAAATCCGTTTCAGAAAATTTAGAGTCGACTCAGCGATGTCCGTCCGTCCGTCCTTCTGTCCATCTGCCTGGCTGGTGCGCACTATAACTCTCGAAGGGAGTATCCCATTTGATCCAAACTTGGTACATCGTAATATTATTATAAAACCTAGATCGAGTTCGGAGGTGGGCAATATCGGTCC